TCAATCCACACACAGACAAACAAACAAACAAAAAAATAAAATAATAATAATAATAATAATAATAAAGTTTGGTAGGGTATCACAACCAAAAACGTACTAACTCTTTTTGTCCACTTGGATTTAGACATAGTTTCCTCATTACTTTTGCTCTAATGAGACGTCTATTATTGCTTTCTACCATCCTACCATGACTTGTCCATTCACTCCCATCTTGTAATCACCATGCCATACCTTGAAAGCATGACGTCCAAATATTGGGTGCAGTTTTGTATGCTATTTATAAGCTATGAGGGCCAAGTTCAATCCCCTTTCATGCCCATGCAACATCATGCTTTAGGGTTCACTCTTATAGTGTTTCTGCAACAGTGTTTTTCCAAGCTCTAGGTTCATAGTCCAAGAAAGAAAGAAAGGAAATAAGTGGGCTCCAGTGGGTGGGATTTGTTGCTACAAAATCTAAGCAAATGAGAGGCATTTTGAGTGACTGCCAGTATTATGGGGGAAAGAAAAAAAACAACAAAAAGAAAAGAAATGGGAGACTGTGCAGGGTATCAATTGGGGGTATGAATTAGTGCATGCACCCTCACAAAAAAATAAATAATAAAATAAATAAAATAAAATCTGGCCCCAAATATTATGGCTCTTTGGTCCCCTACTGAAGGTACAAGAGGCTGCCATTATTATTTTATTATTTGATTTTCATTCATTTTTTTCTATAGGGAGAGCTTGTTCCTGGGGTTGTTTTCAACTGGGAGGACATGATGTTTCCATTTGAGCTGGCTGGGTCTAAGTTACTATCATAGCCCCTTTCTAAATAGCATTCCTCCTGTTGGGAGTTGTGCACTTCCCTCACCTTCTCCTGAATAAGTGGAAGGAACAAAACAATGTATTATGCTTCAAAAATAAACAACAATAATTCTGTAAGTTACTAATCTTTTTGTTTCTTCAAAATTTAAACAAAATTGTGGGGCCCTGTAGGGTGTTCCTATCAAGACTGTATCATAACAAAAGTCTTGTTCTGGTAAAACAGATTGTCTTGTGTTATTAGCCCTTTTGAGGAAGGAATTTCATTACACCTGTGTATTTATGAATCTTGTGGTCTGAATAGCTCCTGTCCCAGTGTTATTGTTTCCATATAAACAAACATGTTGAGCATGTTCTCCATTGTTCTGTTTTCCTGTGCACTTCAGGAAATAGAGAAACACACACATACATTGTCAGTCTCTGTAGGGCTGAAATACACCACCCAAGGTTATGATATAATTTACCAAGTTTAGTGATTGAAGTTATTGGTACTACATGGGGGTCTATCTTTATTAGAAATTTGAAAAACACAGAGCCAATCCTATACTATATACACCCTAAACTCAAGCTTCTTATTGTCTTTTTTTTCCCCTTAGCACATACTAAATGCAAAAGACTCTAAGCTTCCCCACATGAATTATGAGGGAACTTGTTGGGAACACCAATTACTTATATCCTGTCATGCAAAGGATTTAAAATAAAATATAGTGGCAAAAATCAAATTAAACTAGATCTCAGAAAGACTTAGAAGATCATGTTTATAATGCAACCTGGATCAGCTACAGAAGGAAAGTGAGGATAGTTCACAGTGTGTGTTTTACTACAATGAGAGAAATTTTAGAATTGAAGAGAGAGAAGCTTGAAAATGTGACCCACTCTGTTGTATATATATATAAATATATATGTATATACATACACGGTAGAGTTTGAGTCTTAATGATTGTGTAAATTCTTCACATCAAAAAGTTCTAACCCCTGACCACAAGAGCTGTAATTTACACTGCCAAAAAAAAGAAAGAATGAAAGAAAGAAAGAAAAAACAACCCAACGAATTTCCAAAACCATGTAAGAGGAAGAAGAAGTCAAAGCTTAGTGTCTCCACAAGTTTAATGCAAAACATGTGTCTCAGAGCTTGCCAAACACCCCACAATGAGTAACTTGCATGGAAGCTATAAGTGTAATATTGGGCTGGCACCCAATATCATACAACACCAAATACAAGGCCAGGAATCTGCACACACACACACATGCACATTCACACACACAAAAGTGAGAATGAGGACTGCTTCTTCAGGTTTGCAAGGGGATGGCATTGAGCAGCTCACTGATGATGCAAATGGAGAATGATACCCACAATTTTCTTACATAGATAACAATCTGTACAGTCCAGTCAGTCCAGTCCTCTTTGGGGGTTTGGCAGGGACATTAATATTCCTGCCCCTCTAATATCCCTTTTCCACATACAGTTGGAAAGGCACACAGTCTGTGTACTATTGCAATCCCCCTCCCCCCCTTGCCCAGATCTGGTTTTCCATCAACTAACAAAAGTAGAAGGTCAGGTCAGGTCAGGTCAGGACAGGATTAAGCCCTTGCAATGGTTTCAAAAAGTCTCCATCATTTTCATGACAATGTGAACACAACTGTAGCACATAGTTGCATGCTGAGCCAACCAACAAAGAGAGGATGAACGAACGCAAAGCCAATAACGAATGATAACAAGAGGGTGAGATGGATGGAAAGATAGATGGATGCACACGAGATGGACGAATGAAAGCACGAGCTCCAGATGGATGTACGAGGGATGGATGAAAGCGAGACAATTGAGGCGGGGGTCGAGGGGTGGAAGCACGACGAGCACGGGCGGGGCAGGGCAGAGCGGGGCCCGACCCGACCCGACCCGGGGCATAGGGGCAGAGAGGAGAGTGGTAGTATACTGCTGATGAGGATGGAGAGGGGGGAAGAAGAGCAACGCACTGTTTCGTTTCAGTTTCGTTTTGTTTTTGTTTTTGTTGAAGGCGGAGTCGAGAGAGAGAGAGGGAGGGAGAGGAGAGGAGGTGCGTTCTCAGATCTTCGCCCGCTGTCTCGTGATCTGTGAGTGAGTGAGTGAGTGAGTGAGTAAGTGGCTGCTGCTGCTGGCTCGCGGCCTGCGCTCGCCGTTGCCAATCGGCAGGTAATCCGAGCTCGTGTCCGTCGCCATTCGAGCCGCCTTGCCAGCCCAATACGCTCTTTTTCTTGGAATTTGTGCCGGGATGTTGTGTTTTTTTGGTTCGGTCGTGCTGGCTCTGCTTCTTGCCTCGTGTGCGGCGGTTCGTTAGAATGGTGGTCTGGTTGTACTGCGAGAGTTTGCGAGGCGCAGTTTTGTAGAGCTTCAGTACCATCCGCTTGAGGTTTTCTTGATGCGGGCTTCTATTTTGTTTTTATTGTTTTTATTGTTTGTTTTTTTAATATTTTTTAGGTGAATTAGGAGAGGTAGATATGATTAGAGATCGCTGCGGATGTATCATGCGGCTTCAGTGTCGGGTCGTAGGCGTTCTATGTCTTGCGCTCGACCCTGTGAGCTGCATGAAAGGGCATGTATTGTCGTCTTCGAGATGCGTTATTTTATTTATTTATATTTTATTTTCTCTTGGCTGTTCGTTGGAGCTCGAAAGCATGGCTCTACACGCTCTTGCATTAGTCGATGGGCGCGGATATGCAGCGAGAAGGAATTGTCACCTGTCATTTTCCGGGCGTTGAACATATGTGTTTTGCTAGATTGATTGGAGGTGTTGAGACCGTCACTCCTTCCTTCTCATCTTTGACTTCGCTACATTTTATGTCCGTAGTGGAATGCTACGGTCGTATTCCAGCTAGGAAAGTTGTGTTAATTTGTTGCTTCATGCTGCAGGTCTGACATTTAAATTCTTGTTTATGTGGCAGATCAGGGTCTTGGTTGGGCCCAAAGTTTTATTTTACATTCATCTGTAGAATTTTTGATTGCGCGGGCTTGGGGAAGTATCGGCTCAATGTGTGCCGATCATCAGCTTTGAGTGCGTGAATCCTCGTTTTTCCGCCCACGGTCGCTCGCCCACCGTTTGAAGTCAATTGCGCTCTTCAAGTCCTTTCTGAATTCCGATTCCCCCTACCATTCTAGTGCTGTCAATGCAAGTCATATTGTTCACAACTGACCATTTCGCCCCACCCTTACCTTTATTCATCTAGAGCCTGGGTTTTAGTGCAAACCAAGTCCCTTTGTGAGGATTTGATTAGAATAACTTGATTACGAAGGCTTTTTTCGGTTTTCTTACGAATCTATCTTGAGGATGGTAGAGTTTGTTAAGGATGGAGCCACAGGCATGGAGAAAGTCCTGCTGCGTGAGCCTGGGGGCGCAACGGCACAGATTCACCTCTACGGCGGGCACGTCACTTCTTGGAGAAATGAGAGAGGGGAGGAGCTACTTTTCTTGAGCTCCAAAGCCATCTTTAAGCCTCCTAAGGCAATCCGCGGAGGTATTCCAGTGTGCTTTCCGCAGTTCGGTGGTTTTGGTGCTTTAGAACAGCATGGATTTGCCAGGAATCGAATGTGGGCTGTGGACATAAACCCGCCTCCTCCACCTCCATTCGCCGGCACTGGCCCTAACAAGCCCTACATTGATCTAGTTTTGAAGCCGTCGGATGATGAGTTAAAAATATGGCCTCACAACTTTGAGCTCTACCAGAGAGTGATGATAGGGTTTAATGGTGAACTTACATCAATTATTCGGGTTCGCAATACAGACACCAAGCCTTTCACCTTCACGTTCGCGTTGCACACATACCTGTCTGTCTCAGACATCAGCGAGGTCCGTATTGAGGGGCTTGAGACTCTAGATTTCCTTGATAATTTGCAGGAGAAGGAGAGGTTCACGGAGCAGGGAGATGCGATCACCTTCGATTCTGAAGTAGATCGCATCTATCTGGGAACCCCTACCAAGATAGCCATCATAGATCATGACAAGAAACGGACATTTGTACTCAAGAAGGAGGGTCTCCCAGATGCGGTGGTGTGGAATCCCTGGGAGAAGAAGGCCAAAGCGATGGCAGACTTCGGTGACGATGAATACAAGCACATGTTGTGCGTGGAAGCAGCCGCGGTGGAGAAGGCGATCACGTTGAAACCGGGAGAAGAATGGAAAGCGCGTCAAGAGATTTCGGCAGTGCCATCCAGTTACTTCAGTGGCCAACTAGATCCTTGTAAGGTCCTTAACGGATGATTTGTTTTTGTAGATATTCAGATTTTCGGTTAGTTCTAGTGTTTACATGTTTACATCTGTTGTCGAATATAATTTGCAGTGGTTGTCATCTAAATAGAACCCCCATGTTTAAAAGACGCCCCATGTTGTAATACGTCGCAAGAGGAACTCGCTGAATATTTTAGATTTAGATTCTCATGAGGGCTTAGTCAACGTGGACAGCTTTCAGCTGTTACACCGACGCGACATTTTTCTATAGTAGGAATCGATAAGATAGATGCACGTTCTCAGATGTGGAAGCAGTTGACCCTCTACCCCTAACCAAATCTATTTCCATTAGACAAGTGGACCTCAACCTGCCCTACATAACTTCATTCTCAGAGGCTGCTCCTAGTATCTTGGTATTACCATGAAAGGTTCAACTTCAGTGACGAGCCTTTATGTACGTGTCATAGAGTGAGGGGCTGTGTGCTGCACTAATGTATGCCTGGCAATTGAGACTTACTCGTCTTTGATTGTGTTCCGATGGGGCATATATTTCGTCTTTGTGAATACTCTTGTGTTAGGTGTAATGTCTGCCTGCAGACGTGAAGTTAATTAATGAGCATCACACTCAGTTCCATAGGAGTGATATACTGATCATCCTGGTAGCTTCCCTTTTTGGCGACAGATAGGTAGTTGAAGTAGCTTGTACAGTGTTGGAAACCGGTCAACCGAGTCATATCCAGTGGTGGCATTTTGAGGCTGTTATGCAATACTTTTGCATCTATTGCTAGTTTAATTTTTCCGAAACAATTCTCATACCTGTTTTGATGTTCGTGTTTGTAACAAGGGATCGAGTCGTAAGTTCCTTAGGTTGTCAGGTCTTGAACTTTTGCATGGCTGTCACTTTGCAGGTTAGCGTCGGGGTCCCTCTTTTGCCTTCTCTTTTACTTCTATCACAAATTATTTGAGAGCTACGCAGAAGAGTTCATCTTCGAATCATCAAACTCAGCAGATATGTGGGTGTAAAATTTCTATTCATATTTTGACATTTTCTTGGGCGTTTGATTATGGCCACTGTGTCTTGTAACATCCGAGGTTATTATAAATTTTAATGTTCTTAGTCTTTATCGTTTACTTTTACATTTGCATGGGCATTCTGTGAACTGAGATATGGTCTGGATGTTCCAAGATTTTGCGAAGAGCTAACCTGTGCTGATGTATGTCTTGTTCAAGAATGGATGTCGTAGTAAGTATAACCTTCCCAGGTCATAAAGAAGCAACATTTTCCAACTTTGCAGAAGAAATTCAAGTTCCAATTAAAGCAGACATGTTTGAATGGAAACACTAGCATGTACAATGTGGTATATTTCACTGATTGATAGTTTTCGATAATAAGGGCAACAAAGGTTGTATTGTTTCTAAGGCGTGGAATTCAGTTCACTGTTATCAAACAACTTTGAAGTTGTTCTTGTAGGAGGTTTTAGATTGACAAGGCTAGGATCATTTCATGATCTTTTCGAGACCTTGTACATCTATAGCAATTGATTGATCCACAAATCATTCCTGCGCAAGTAGGCAGAACCAGAACACCACTCGCCTTGCCCTCGTAGGGAAAGTTGTTCTTAAAAGCCACGAAGACAGAACATGATACAAAAAAACCGCCTGGGAAGTTCCAGCCATCTCCAATTACAAAATCAGAAGCAGTGGCACTGAGCATAGATCGATGCAACGCCACATACCGATTCATGTGTGGTGAAGAGCAGGGAGTTACAAGGAATTGAAGAGTCGACTGATTCTATGACAACAAGAATATACCATAAATTTCTACACTAACATGTCACCGTCCTGGAAAACAATCTCAGTCCCAAGACCTATTCCAAGTACCCACGTCGAACTTCTCTCTAGGGTGTAATGTACTTCTCTACAGTTGTGGTCAATGTAGACTTGGGCACAGCACCGATAACTGTGTCCTTCTTTTCTCCACCCTTGAACAACATCACGGTGGGGATGGAGCGAATTCCATACTCAGTGGCAATGCCTGGGCTCTCGTCTGTGTTGAGCTTCAGGCACCTGATCTTGCCAGCGTACTGCTTTGCTAGCTCATCGATCAGAGGAGCGATCATACGGCAAGGTCCACACCAGGGAGCCCAGAAGTCTACCAGTACTGGGATCTGGCTTTCCAGCACAAGTTCCTTCCAGGTAGCATCATTTACAACACCTGCGACTGATGGAAAGAAAAGAAGACCAGGTTGAGATAAAATGTATCAGCAAACCGAAAGAGAAACACTCAGTTAAGAATGAAAACAGCTGAAAATATGGGGATGTAAGGGTTGTCATAGCAATGAGGGCGGCGCCATTCAACTCAGGTGGGGTAGCTATCGGACTAATGTCATTAATGATATATCCAAGGGCAAAGAAAATTCTCACTACACATTCTTGGATACTAATTAAAGATATAAGTATAACATCCGCTTAATCCCACTCAGTAAATTTAATCCGAGTATACCCCAATAGACAGAACCTACCATCGTAAGCAATATGCGCTATGTAAGAAAGACCTTAAATGGGCATCTCAAGCAGCTCGTTTGAAAATCTCTCGTTCGGTTGTAGGAGAAACAGAACAGTCCTTCGCATTCAAAGAAAGACTGATAAAACTGTGAATAATTCTCGTAGGTTCCCCTTTCGAAGAGTGTCATGGTAAGCTAGAGAGTTTCATATTGTCAGACTTCTAAATCTTTAAAATTCTACACCTCCAAGTGAAAAGAAAAAACAGCCACATTAACCAAACTACGTGATAAATCTTTCGCAACCTGTCATTGAGTTTACTCGAGGAACATCCAACACATTGCTAGAACTGAATCCCCTATTATCTACATCAAAAACTCTTTCCGAACCGTCCATCTAATGCTAGCCACTCTTGAAAGAACAACAAATACCACACGGAAGGACATCGAAGGGCAAAGCAATCGTCGTACACCAGGAAACTCAAACAGTCAACAGGAAATCCTTGGCGACCAAGTGAGAATGAACATGCACTTCTTCGGATAAAAAGTGCAAAAACAGAAGAAAAAAAAAGACCTGCCGAAGACCCGACCACCTAAGGAATAGAGTCTGCACGCCAGTATGCTATTTACGAAGAATACAAGGTTTACAGCCAGGGCAGAGAGCTACACAAAGCCAGTATTTAAACTGGTGTAAAAGAGAAATATAGATACCTCCGGTGACAGTCTCCTGGGCTTCGCAAACGATTCCTGTCCTCTGAGTTCGAACGGCACCGTGTGAGGATGTGGAAGAGGAGAATTTGCTTCTGGAGGCGCCGATTCTAAGGCCACGCGCAACGGGTAGACACCGCACGCTCATGCCCACGACGCAAGGCGAGCTCGAGTTCGACGTCGCGACAGACGAGGCCACAGTGGGAGCCAGCTGCTGGGCTGTGCACCCGACCTCCATCAACAACGACGCCATTTCCACACGCACCACACACAAGCGCTTTGTTCAAAATCGCGATCTCTGCAAAACCCAGCTCCCGAAACCAGCTAACAATGGTATGGAGGTGCACCAGCAAGAGGAATCAGACAAGGTGTGGGAGTGGCCTCGGGCCCCGGAGAATCCTGGCCAACTCTGTGGCTATGGAGGAGGGACGCTGAGCCGTCGACGGGGGCCATCGGAAGGCTCAGAGCCGTCCAGGCGGTGGATAAGCGTTTCTGGTGCTGGTGAAGCCATGACGGATGTGGCAATGTGGCAATGGGGCCGAGATGTTGCCCTGGCCTCGTTGCCCTGGACGACGACAATGGTGGTGCCCAGATTTTGTGTGCTACCGCGATTGCTCGTTTTTTTGTTTGCATCCTTTTTTTCCGAATGAGCTGCGAGGTTGCGACGATGAAAGATACTGTGTATCCCTCTCTGGATTACTGCATCCATTTCTCCATTGGACATCCTGTCCAGTGGATAATTCTGACGCGCTGCATTTCACTGCAAAAAGCGACTGCGTCACCTTCATTCATCGTGTGGATGTGCGTCGCCAGGGGCTCAATGCATTGTTCAAACTCTTCACTTCATGGTCGGCGACATTCGCTCCCCGCGTCGCTAACCCCACCTCCCGGTTTCAAAATCACTCAACTAACGACTATGTTTTTGCGTGTTTCACTGTGTGGCAATTCTCGTTCAACTTTGCCAGTGATAGTAGAAGGGAGGCCCGTAGATTAGAGCTGTGTTCGACGAAGATAGACACATTCTATCCACTTGATTGAGGTATCTTACAAGAGAAGCCTTGGACGCTGAGCCAGCGCCTTTCAAGTTACCGCAATTCTCCACGATTCGTCACTGGCTGAATGCTCAGCTTCCAGTTCCCAAGTCGATATATTTAATGCGAAAAGAAACCACATGAGGACCCATTCCTGACAGATTTGTTGCGTTGTGAAGGACAATTTTTATTATCCAATAGTCATACTTCTACCACCACTGTTGTTGTTGTGTCTCTCGCTTTGAAGTGAGAGTTCCACGTCACTAGTGGTCATGAGCGTGCACACAAAATGTGTGCTTGCACTTCTCATGTGATAAAAATTCAACCTTATTTTTATTATCGTGGGTTCTTGTGAAGAATAGCCTTTGCTGGAGTAAAATGATGTTTGGTTTTCTCTACAACGATAAGATACTTTCAAAAGATATTTTTATCTCAGATTTGGTCTCAACTTCAGGTCTTGAACGTTTCAGACTGATACCCCCTTTGCAAATGAATGAAGAGAGGGTCACAACAGAAAAAGTCTTGGTCAATAGCCTGCCCATTTACAAGCACATTTGTGTTGCAAGTGGGGTCAAAAATGCAAGTCGCTTACCAGTTGGTAAAAGTCATTTCTTGACTTGGTGAAACATTCTCATAAGAACAGGAGCCTACATTCATAAACTGTTTGTATGATGTTCATATATTGCAATCATACCCAAATGAAAATGATCAGCCATGTTGATACCACAATTCACATCAAAGCTCTTATTGCAAGCTAAAAGACTGTGCAACAATTTAATGCAAACATTTACCACACAAGAGTAATTATTATTTTAAAAGTTCAAGTATTTAGCCTCAGATTATGGTCTTTTGAACAATTTCTATTGATTAAATAAAATCTAATCAAACAATAGATAGCTCATTGTTGGTAGAATTTACTTTCTAGAGAAATCTCATTATTGCATCTAAGAAGAACTTAAATAGGACATGAGGAAAATTATAAGATCAACTTGAGAAATGCAACCCTTAAATAATGAAAGAAATAAAGAATTGTCTCTAACTTTTTTGTGGACATATGTAACAAGATATCAATATTTAGTTATAAGCATGTTCTATTTATAATTGACTTACAATATAAATACTAATGCAAATGAATTATTAACATATATTTGTAACAATCAATAAAGTATTAAAACTAATTACTATAGATAAAGGAATTTAGCTAGGATAATTATATAGTTTCAACTTAAAAAAATTAAAGTTGGTTTTTAATTTAATTAAAAAGAACAAAGAAAATAGAAAGTAGAAAATCTAAATTAATGTTTTAATATATTTTATATCCAAATTAATAAATTTTATACATTCTAATTATATTTTTATATGGATTATTAGATTTTAAAATTGAATCTATTAAAATTTATTATAAATTCTTTATTTTCAATTTTTTATATTCATAAAATGAAAAAAAAAAAAAAAAAAAAAAAAAAAAACTAAAAGGCTATTGCCAATTATAAAGGAACTTAAGAATCTTGAATTAAGATTAGGATATAAGTTAGACGCTTTAGCCAATCTTAAGTCTAAAAATTTAGAATTGGTAAAAAAACACTTCAAGTGATTAATCAAGACTACCAATCAACTTAAAATTTTTTTTGAATGAATTTGACTTAAAATAATACTAATTTAAAATAACACTAATATAATTAACTTCTACTAAGTAAACTAGTTGAATAGAATCTTAATTAAAATAATTTTGCACTAACTACTATCATTAATTAAACTAAGACAAATTTACTTTCATAAGTGTAAAATATATATATATATATATATATATATATATATATATATATATATATATATATATTCTAGATAAGACATAATTTTTCAATAAGACACTAAAACACCAAAGAAAAGAATTGATTTTATTCAAGTTTGTTGTACACTTATATTACTAATAATTTATTACAACAATTAATTAATTTACTTAGACAGTTATTATAATCTTATGTTTTAACTCAATTTGTTCTATTCTAAGGATTTGGTTCTTAAGTGAAGTAGGTATGTCCAACTCATTGTGGATTTTTATCCAAATCTTATTGATCTAGCTTTATTTATAATTTACACCTCACTAGTTTAAATTTATCTACTATCCAAATTCTATTAGATTAAATTTTTCTATTATTTAGACCTTATTGATTTGGATTTAATATTTGGTTAAGTAGACCAGTTAACAAAACTTACTTTTATAAATATTAGCTATTAAAAAGATTTTGTAGAAACTTTATAAAGACCATGAAGCTTGTAGCGTAAGTATCAAGTTGTAGGTTGCTTTTAATATAATTGTTTAGAAGTTAAAAACTTATAGAATAAGTTTTTATAGTCCACATAATATATAAATAAAAATTTATATGTCTTATTTAAGTCTAAAAAACTTTTTTAAAGCTCTATAAAGAATATATTATCAACTTAATATGTTGTAAAAATTGCTAATTATTTTTACTTCAATAATATTAATAAGGCTTAAATTCAAGAAGGAACAGATTTTTTTTTTTTTTTTTTTTTTTTTTTTAATAATAAATTGATGAAGTTCAAGATCCAATAAATGATATTAGCAAAAAATTCTAATCTAAATTTTGTATGAAGATAATTCATAGAATCTTTCAACTATCAATAATGTTTTATATTAGGGCAAAAAGACCATCCTAATGTTTTATCATTATTAGAGCCTTCATAACTATTTCCAAACTACACATTTTACTTCTAGTAAGTATAGTATCTAGTAGTATTTCTAAGCATTGAGAGTCACTTCTAAAATTTTAGTACCAAACACTTTATATCTTATCATCTTTTCAAAAAGAATATACCTTTTTTACTAATCCTCATTACAATTCTGATGTTGTTAGGTTAAAATGGTCAAAATTATTTATCTAACAAATTTACAAATGATAATTCTTTAAATGAATGTATTGGCTATTGGTTCTCTATGTTGCAAAGAATTTCTATAACTTAAGCCTTGAATTTATTTCTTCTTGACTTATACCATCTTCTTTTTAATAGTTGATCTTTCATCTAAATAAATGTTATTGATGAAAGACAACAACAAATTTGATATGTTTATAAGATTTTTAGATGGCTTTCCTATATATTCACTAATATCATATTTGTGCCAATATATAAGATATTCTAATTTATTTTGGTGTTGCCTTGCATCCAAGATTTCCTTCACTTGAAATTTTTGGTTTTTATCTATATTAGCAAGAGGTAGTTGTAATTATTTTCTTTCTAGTGTATTAATTATAATATAATTTTTAATAAGAGAACATATATATAATATAAGATAATATTTATTAATAATGATAAATAGAAATAAAAATAAAACAAACTTAATCTATTTTTTAGATAATAAATGAGTCAAATCTTTAATAATCTATTTTTTCATAAGATTAATTAGTCTTGATACTATAACAAAGTAACCATTTCTTATTAACAACTTTGAATAGATATTATTTTTTCTTGTAAATACTTAAGAAAGTTTTTTATTTTTTATTTTTAATTGAGTTTTTTTAGCTATATCTTTATTATTGCATGAAACTTTTCTATTATTTGTACCAAATGTAGTATTATTGGAATTTAAAATTTTAAAATTTTAAAAGTTTTAACTTTAATCTTTTAGATTTTTTTAAAGTTTAAAGTTCAAAGTTTTAATTTTTTTTAAATCTAGTTCACAAGATAATTGTCTTATATGCTTAGCAATACTTTAAAATATAGATTGATATGAAATACTTAAGGTTCTTATATTTGGTTTAGACTAATATTATATATAAAAAAGGCCTACTAAGTAGTGACACCATTCTTAGAATGAAACTATAATAGAATGAAGTTCTTTATTATGAATCTCATCACTAATATTCACTATTAAGATTATTTTTGAATAAAACACAATTACATAAAACCTACCATTTATATCTAGTTATCATAAAATTCTACCAAATGCAAATTTTAATGCATTTAGTTCTATAAAAGTAATTTAAAAAATCTTAGCAAAATATAATATGAAGTTAAGATAAAAGTTATTTTTAAACCTTTAAAAGTTTCTTTTGCATCTTTGTTCTATTCTAATTTATGCTTAATAGTTAATTTTGTAAACAAGACAATAACTAGAAAATAAATTCTTAATAAACATTCAATAGTAGTTTGTGAATCTCAGAAAATATTAGACATTGCTTATTATTTTTTAAATTGTTCAATCTATAATAATTTACATCTTCTTAAAATCCATTTACAAATTTATGTTTGAAATGATAAATCCTAAAGATTGCACTTGCCTTGTATAAAATATGTATTCTTCTTTCTTGGTATATAATCTTATATCTCTAATATAGATAGTAACTAAACATACTTCTTATTGCAAAAAAAAAAAAGAATATATATAGATACACACACACACACACACACACACACACACATATATATATATATATATATATATATATATATATATATATTCTTTGTCAATTATTATTTCCAAATATAAACGCAAATAATTCTAAGAATGAGTTCAAGTAGATAAAAAAGTGATAAGTCCTTTTTCATCAAAGATACAAATTTTAAAAGAATACTTTGAGATAGTAGTGTGTCTATAAATCCTACTTGAGTATTGCCATGAGAGTAATGAGAAAGATATGATTGTAAGAAAAACTTAACATGTTATAGAAATTCTCAATATTTTTATCTTGCTCTATCAAACTACTTTGATATATTAATCATTAGCTCCATTGTACTTGTGGTGGCTATAGCTTTAGAAATAATTTGTGAAATTAGTCTATATATATTTGTTTCTTTAAATTGCACTACTTCTTGACATTAAATTAAACTTTATCTTTTACTTCTTCTATAGGTGAAGTATTAGTACTTTCATGATGAAATTGCTAATAAGTGCAATATTTGCTCGAAGTGTATTAAAAACTTTTGATATTTGAATAGACATTGTTCTTTAGTTTTTATTTTAATATACTCATTGTTATAGTGTTTTTTATTAAAATTAGATAAGTATTTTATACAAAAATAATTATACAAAGTTTGTATATTTTCTTTAGTAATGTTAGTAATGTATTCATCTATTATTTTACAAAAAACTTTTTCAAATTGCAAGTAATACAAGAATGATCCACATTTGTATTGATATTGATTGCTCATTAATTCAAAATTTGAGAAGTTTTATCAAAAAAATACTATTCAATTTTGTAACATCATGATTTATTGTTTTGAATAAAATTTATAATTTTTTTTAGAAATCTAGTAATTACAAAAAAATACTTTAATTCTAATATTCTTAAAGTTTTGATCTTATAAGTTCTAAATGTTAAACTTATAATCAAATATAAATACAAATTTTCTAACCAAGACAACATATATTTATATGGCATTTATATTCTCATGAATAAAAATAAATTTAGTCTATACCAAAAGTAATAACTAAATTAAAAATATTTTGAAGTAAATTTCATTAAATTATTATATCTTATCTATTAACAGTTTAAAATTAAAGATAATAATTTTAAAAGATCTAATTTTAAATATATATGTGTGTGTGTGTGTGTGTGTGTGTGTGTGTGTTAAATTGCATAGTAAAATTGTATTTTTTATTTGAGTCTTTATGAAGGAGAAATTTGCTAATAACTAACATTATTAACCTTTGTAGGTAATATAAAATTTATTATATATTTAACTACTTTATTCAATACAAAATATTATATATTTTTCCATTATAATGTATATTTTCAACCATTATAAAGAACTCCAATACACCATGATATATTTTACTTCTATTTCTTCAAATTATTTCTAAATTCATTCACTTGTAGTATTATCATGACCTTGGCTTTTATCATATAAAATACTAAAATAGAATTTAATTTAAAGAGCAATAAACACTATTTCTACTACTCAATTTATAAAATGTTATTTGAAGGATATCAAACTTGATAAAACATTATTATGCATTGAAGAAGTGCTCGAAGTGACTTCTTTGCATGTAGATAAAATAGGATTAAGATATGTTTTTTGTTTAAAACATTGTCTATGAATTATTCGAATATATTAATTTTATTTGAACACCAATTGCATATTATATAGTATTATCCAAGTATTATTACGAATTTAATAAACCAAGATTGATACAAAATTAGACCGACATACTCATCCAATAAAAGTTGAAATAACATTATTAACCCTGCCTGATGTCAATCTTCTCATTTCAAACTGAAATATAGCAGCAATAAGTGTTAATTTATTTGTTTGCTATTATTCAAAAAAAGAAAAATTATTAATTAATTGATAAATTAATAACTACATGCCAATACCTACTAAACGTATCAACGTTAACTCCACTCCGTCTCCTCTGCAAATACACATTGCAATCACAAGCGCATAGGATATTGAACTACGACAAACGCAACGACAAAGAAAGAAAACGCATTATATCCTTGAGTCTGAAACCGATCCACAGGTATCAAGTAAGAGGTCAGATCCAGCAGACAATGCACAATGACGGGAAAAATTAGGTGCCTCCGCAAGTTGAGGCCTAAAAACTCTGGGCTACACGAGCCTAAACCTCCGTCATGTCCAACAGCTCTAAACTATGAGAAAGGTACAGATCGCCACATGGCTGAATCTTAATCACAATCTGGACTGACTCTTCCCGGAGTACTTCACGTCTTATATGGTAATAAAATCGTGAACATGTAATAAAATACATGTCAGATACCAAACTCAAAATCGCTCTCCAAATCGAACGAAAAGTGCACCTGAGCCCGCATTACAATCCCTGGCATACTCTGCCCGGATGGACCCCAATTTCACACCCACACCATAAGCAGCTCCCTTTCCTGCACGTTTGAAAAATTCTGTTGGGTTGCCTCGCACATCCTTGGAGCTTCCAAGATCAGTTCCATACTCAACAAAACCGTAGGTATGAGTTTTCTTCAGAGGTACCCGCAGTTCAAGACCCATCTGCAGGAAAGTAAACATATGAATACGATGCAAGTTCCGATCAATCAGCTATATTCAACAGCCAATTCCACAGAAAGCCAACATAGCGAAAAGCCCTAGGAAGAATAAACAAGGAAAGTGAAAGAAGACCTAACAGTTGCTTTCAAACAGTGTTTGCACAATTCTAGAGAATAACAAGCCGAAAGTTGTACAGGACTTTACCTCCAGGAAGTTTCGGGCAGCACCAAGTTCACCCATGTTGTATCCACGCACAGAGTAAGGTCCACCCAGAGTAAAAGCATCGTAACTTGCCAAGTCCCCTACACAGCCACCGTACCTGCCATGAACAACTGCAACTGGAGGGGGTTTCTCAGTGTCTAGCTTATCTTCTGGTCGCAATTGAATGAACTTGGTTACTGTCAATTGATGCCGGTTAAAGAAAGGGTACTTGCTGCCAATGCCAAGGCCTTGATCCACCTGCAAGAAGAGATGGATGAGCAAGAACGGATGTGGATTGAAAGCTGTAACCTTGCATGATTCTCTCAATACTTAGATTTCGGTAATGTAGCGACAGATAAACTTCCAACCTAGAATAAGAAATACATACCTGAAAAATATGCCGATCACCAACAGGAGTCCCGTTGACGAATTGGGTATTATCACGAGTTAAATTAGCTTGCACAAATGCTATCCTGTCAATTCCAGTGTCACTATGTGTGGTTGGGGGACCATCACTAGTGAGGGCTCCACTCGGTAAAGTACGAGCGCCATGAACACAGATAGCACTAGTCTCATCTCTTGTTGTTACTTCTTCCAACACCAGGCCGTAAGTGAATTTACTCTGTCGCGTGAAACACTGCAGGAACTCAGGCGCAAAAAGGGGGTTAGATCTGAGTACTTCATTAAATACTCAAAGACAAGTTAATTTTCAAGGATTAAGATTGTGCCTGGCCAATTCTGCAAATGGGCATCTCCTTGAAGAAATATATCATTAAGCTACACTAAGACAAAGAAATATAAAAGAACCGAGGGTAAAATGATGAACTGACCTCAGTCAGATTAGCTTTGAAACCAGCACGATCTACCCACACAGATGGGACATCCTCTACGCCAGGGCCTCCCGTGAAAACAGCACTTAATTTTCGACTATTAAAGCAACTGGCACGAAATGTGCGGTTACGAGGATCATCAACCCCATCGACATGCGGGTGGACATACTCTGCCTTAAAGCCTAGGTCGTCCTGCAGTTCAAGAGGACGAGGACAGAAGTCAACATCCTCTTCCATATTCAAGAAACAGCAATGATAGCAAACCAAAACCTAACTGGCTGCTCAGAGGTTGTCAACAAGGATACTAGAAGCTTACTAAATCATAGCATGAGTTCTCAAAGTACCTGAGGGTTGAAAAGGTTGTTGGAAGTCACAACACCCAGAATGGAGCGGTTTAACCCTTGCAGATTACGATGCTCAAACGTCACACTTCCAGCAGGCTGAATAGTGGACTGCAAAACATCGCATACCAAGACATTTTGTGTCATTATCTGACAGAAAAAAAGTCCAACTAGAATGATCTTGATTCAGAAAGGCATTGTTGTGACTAGAAAGTATAATTTCAACTCATGATAGCAGTGCTACTCTCAAATGTAACGGAAACTAGAAACTAGAGATGAAATACACAGGATACTGTAACCAGTGGTGTGCTCAGCACTAGAACAAGTTGAACTCGTTCCAAGGTCAGTGATCATTGCTCGTAGAGTATCTACTGCTTGTACACTTAACCGAAACCTTGAACTATGCGGATAAATTTCATTACCAGTGTAGGCCGTCCATTATTGCCAGGCATAATACTCCACTCGGTGCTAACTTCAGCTGTCTTCTGCTCCAACTCCTTCAACTTTACCTCAACCACGATACCGCCATCGTTTTCTTCATCTGGACGAGGATTGACTTCAATGTTTGAAAACAAAGCAAGAGCATTGACATTTCTCAATGCCTTCTTACCAGCTTCAATATTGAAAATTTGACCTGATCTCAACTGTCCAAAAACAACTACCGTTTAAACACCCACACACGTTCACGTCTGGCTTACAAATCTCGAACACGAATACCAACTTGAAAGATAGAAAAGAGTGGAAAATGGATGCGATATTCAAAAGCAGATGCCAGGATTTCTGAATTCAATTATATAACCAATGGTCAATGGGAAATTGTAGCCCCCATTTTAAGGGTCAAGAAAGTTCAGAACGAGCACTTACTTGATCAGGCAGCTCCCGCTGGATAATCACTTCTTGCGTGTGACCTACAGATGGAAATCCCATTTTGTCCTGGAATTGTATTTGCACTTTGGTGATGTCACCTTCCACTACTTCACAAACGACCTCATTCGTATTCAAGTTTCCGAAATTGACCACCTGGGCACAAGCATATCCTTCATCATGATACCACTTCTGTACACGGTCTCGAATGCGCTGCAACATGCGAGCGGTCACGCGAGTCTCTCCGCGTAACCATCCCGAAATCTCACGCTGAAAACACAGCACGGGTTAAAACGAGTTAGAAAACTCAAAATTGAATTGCTTAATGAATTCAAGTAAAAGCCCAATTTAGTTCTCTATTGCATTGATCTGAAGTTAGAAAAAGCCAAACACATCTAAGAAATAAACTTAGTACCTCCACATTTTTGGGAAGCATACAAGGGCGCGCTTTCCTAAGTCTGTTCTTGTACTCTTCTTCTTGTGACTTTGCCAGTTCTTCTCGCTGTTGATCTGTCATTTTCTCGTCACCCTCGGGACCCCTGCTTTGGGCCAACAACCCTACATTCACACACCTGAACGAATCTGCAGGTTGCCATTGGCTCTCGATGAATGAAACTTGCATTTTCAGGCTTCCATCAAGGTTGGTCACCCCATCCATCTCTACACTTTGAAACATCCCACAATTCATTAAGTTCTCCACCTCCGCCTCCAACTGAGCTTTCGTCGCAACTCCACCGGCTCGTAAGGTAACAAGCTCATAAAACGCATCCTTGGAGTTAACAGGCTGATTTGTGCGCTTGTCAATAAGCTCCACTTCTGAAACCTTGTACCTCTTGGCGGGGTTGAGCTTGCTAACAGGGACAGTACGTCCAACCTGTAGCCCGTGAGGATCAAAACCATCAGCACCTTCTTCATCCTTTCTTGCATCTGCCCACGCAATATTCTCCAGCCAGAAGCGCCAGCCTCCGCCACCTCCACCACCTCCCCCAGAAATGAAACCACCGAAACCCCCTCCATCCCCACCAGAGAGTGCCAGGATAGTCGCAGTACTAAGACCTGCTACTACACCAGTTGCCACCAAGGCAGCTTGTTTCCAATCCAAAGATTCACCACCTTCCCTAATATTTACTTGAGAATCTTCAGCTGCAAAATAAAAATTTAACTCTCGGGATTTTATTATGCACTTGGATAATTCCACAACGAGTACACATGAAGACGACTATCCATCCCAAGGACGAGAAAAACCGAACTACAGTAACACATGAAATAAGGTCCGCCAGTCAAAGCCAACATAGAAACAATCTGCACATCAAAAGAAATAACAAAGACTGTAAACGCATCACTTATTTATCAAAAACTTACATGAAGATTCAGACGCAGTGCCTGCTATAGCAGAAACTGTGGTGTGGCGGCTGCGAGAGGTTCTTCCGACCTGCTGAGAGGTCAATGCCGAAAAGGACTCGTTCTGAGAGTGAGAAGAGCCCCCTGTTAAACCCCTTCTGCCTACCACACAAGCTGTTGATGTTGATGGCACTAATCTGTAACAGAACCAATTACATCAACGAATGCTAGCTTTAATCCACAGCCAGTACTTAATTAAAAGAAGTGATGGAATTAAGAATATTGGAATTACGCAGGATTGACACTTACGACAAGCTGCCATAAGCATGCGTAAGTAAAAAGCTTAGGTTTCCTGTCTGCTACTTAAACACCAGAGGAGAGGCTTCTAATTGCAAGCCTACATCATTCTTCTGTATCATCCACACAAATTTCAAATCTGAAAGCTGTGAAACCCTTATCTGTTCATGGACCCAAAAAAATGACTTGAGTCTATGTTTTCAAATTAAGAAAATACACTACAGTAAGACTAACTTCAGAACTGAACAATGCGACTGCAAGCTGCTTAAACTCTTGCAGGACAAAACCGAATCCGCAATCCAGCATTACATAACAGGAAGAAGACCCAGTTAAAGAGTTCGAGTTTCAAAACTAGAATGAAATCACATTTCACCAATCCAATACGTTCGCTAGGTTGATGAAGGCAAGAGGGGACCATGAATGAATCACTGCTCTCAGTATTAATCGAACGGACTTGACCAAAAGTCAACCCAGGACCTCCAATCCTCGAATAAGATTATACCCAAATCCCCCCCCCCCCCCAATTATTGCAATAGAACGGTTAAAACCCTATCATCTAGATTCTCAAAACAACAGAACCGCAATGCAACCAAATTCACGGCGCCCAAAACCAGTTGACTGTGAGGCGCAAAGTGAGAACAATGCTGGGAATTAAAACTTAGACACATTCTACGGCTTCCGCGTGCAACTCAGCCATTCTGGATAAGAGACACCGACAATGAGGAGGTGAGGAAGAAGAATTCAACCTCTTTGCGAACCCATGTCGATGCGTTGCAACGGTAATGTGGGGCACTGGAGCAGCCAAATGCAGCACAGCGTCCATGGCTGCAGAAATGGACACCAAGCCGTGCAAAATCCGAACAGAAACTCTGGGGTTTGGAATTTCGCTGGAGGTGTAATCTCACGGCTAACTAAGACGAAGGAGGCTTTCTCGTGGCGCGCTTTACAATTGGGCTCAGCTGAGCTTCTCCTGTCCAGTGTGGATGAAAACTACGACAATGGCGAAGCACCCGATGCCGAGGTGACGGATGGCGTTCTCCGTCGAGGTGGATGGGCTGAAATGTGGATAGGATGTGAAATTAACACGGACAAAGGCTGAAGAAGATGAGTTTCTGCGAAGGGTTTTTGCTGTTTAGGGGTAATGGCAAGCTCTAGTCGAACGTATCACACACAGAGATCCCCATTGTTTTGATTAGGGTTACAACTTTTGAAAGTGTTTCGTGAATTGGATGACCATGCAGATTGCCTCACCTGACCATCGTGGGTTTCTCGGTTAATTTGGCGATAATTGTGATGAAGTGCAGATACTTGAGCATCAATGGAGTGTAGCCTATGCGTTGGGAGATTGTGAGATACTGCAGCAGTGAATCATGAGGCTTTGTCTCTTCCGTATGTTGCTCTTTTTAATTAGAGGATCGTTTGTGACAATCTTTACATAGACAAACATAAGCACAGTTGCTGCTTCATTGTTTCCTGAACTTTTGACATTCATAGATTGTCAATGTGCGATGTCTCCTCAGTAGTAACTGTCTTGTCGCGGCTTTTCAACCGTCCCCCATGAATTTTTCCACGGGCACTTTGAACGTTTCTAAGTGTAAGTAAAATTTTGCAGCCTGAAATCCATGGCAGTTTTTCACGGGGCCTCGATGACGCCACAAAAGCTATTTCGCAATCTATGAACATAGACGCATCCATCATGTAGTGCCATAGTTCTCACAAAGCCAATGACCTGTCCTGAAGAAACCTCCTACAGTTGAAGCGGTTTCCCAGATTTATCGACCAGGTCATACAGCATTCCATTTCAATTCATTCATTGCTGTATATTGTACAGAGCTTGTCGTCTGTAGCCAATGGGTGGTTCAAAATGATATTTGGAAGTCAAAACCTGTGAGCGCATTCCTGTTGTAAGTAGGGCGATGTATTATATAGCTCCATTCTCACTGCTTTGGATGTCGTCAAGATCGCCAGGCATTGATTCCGAAGTTTTCTTCTTCTTTCTTGCTTCTCTTCAAGAAATTTATTCAACGATGGCCGAATCGTAGAGGTTGGAATAGTCCTCAGACAGAAAAGAGTGATGCAGAAAGGTCGAAAGCTTTGTCTAGAGATTGTAAGCCATTATCTACCCATAAGCCGTTCCTTTGATGAATTGCCAGGAGACACTAAGATCACAGTTGGATGCAGCATCAGTGAAGTGAATGAACCCATGTATTGTGACTATCACTGCATCAATGATGCGTAACCTCATTCCTTCAACCGCAGTTGCCAGAATCTATGTGCCACGCGTGTCCTTGCTAATCCACTGTCTTCAAGTGCACGCGAATTGTCAACATTGAATTCAATCCTTTATCTACAAAACCAGAAACCAACTAGTGAAAATGCAAGGTGGAGTTACCTATTTACCTACCCGTATCAACTGGGCGTGAAACAGTTTGCAGACGGGGACATCACCAGTATTAACCAGAGCAAGAGCCAGTTGTCTGCCTTCAACAGATGTCCAGTTGTTCACTTCACCATTTGAGAGGTATCATTTCCCGAACCATTCAACAATCCAGCAATCTCGAAGGGTTTTTGCCATTTAATTCTGCCTTCAGGCCCGACTTCACGAGTTGGTGACATCAGAAGGAAAGGCTGTAGATACTTTTGTGAAGAACAAAGAGTTTGACATGACTGTTCTCACAAACAGACAGATAGACTGCAATCTTTTGTCACTTTGCCTATGTTAGAAATGTCGCAAACTGAATGTCTCTGTCTGAGTCTTGCCATTGTGCAACGTTCTTCAGCTTGAAGATATTAGCACACGGATTTCTGCATCACAGATGTGTAACGATTAGCGAGAACCCCATGAGAAACACATTCACAAGTAAAGAGTATGTTCTAATGAATTTTTCCTTAATTGATGTATTCTTAATGGTGTGTGCTGCAGTGGCCTTTTGAAAAACTAGCAAATGGTGGTAAAAGTAGGAATGCGAGCAGTTATAGCAACTAATGTGACAATTACCTCACCAATTGCTGGAAAATACTCCTCTTGAATTGAATGTTACATTTGTAGTGCAAAAAATATGTGTTTGTGTGTGTGTGTGAATGAGAATATGTTTGAATTTTGATTTTTTGATGTATTGCTTAAGTAACACAACCTTATAATGCTCACAAAGTTTTGTATGGATAATCATTTGCAAGTCTGGTTCTTTACTCTTGGCACAGAAGTTAATAGAACCTTAGTATGAAGCCATCAAATAATACTTGAACTTTTTTTTGATGTATACCAACCCAAGTTCAACACAATCTATTTTCCTCTATACTCAACATGGATCTTTTATTATGCAACGTATATAAAAATCAGAATCATATGTAACAATTAATACACAAGTACTTACAATTAATGTCTAAAAAAAGAAAAAAGATGATGGCTCAGTCATCAGTACACGTTAAAGGCTATATTGTTTATAAATTTTCGAATAAAATAATACATTATTTAAATGGAAAACATTGATCAGAAGGAAAGTGTTCGCACCCACCGAACAGAAAACCAAAACCAAACCCAAAACCGTTCCCGGTAATCGGTGCACCCAGTAGACTTTTCAAGCCTCGGTCATAGGGTCAGTTCTTAGTCGTCTCTTGACCGCTACGCTTCACCACAGACTGAGAGAGAACCAGTGTGGTGTTGTTTAGGGTTTAGCGACTACTGCAGCATTGAAGGGTTTATCTATTGAGCCGATTCGCTGTGGCTTCGATCATCAGCATCGTAAGCCCTGTCTCTTCCTGGCATTGATTCTTCAACTGGATCTCGCGATTTTCGTGGTTATATTTGTAGTGGAGAGGGTCGGAGGTCGTCGGAAGTAACACTAGATTTGAGGGGTAGATGAGGATTTGAGAGCAGTTTGTTGTTTCATTGCTTTCGTGGATTGTTGATGGTGTAGTCTCAATGGAGTGCTGAGAAGCGTGAGAGGGGTTGAAGGACAAGGACCTGACTTTGGACGCGGGGTAGTTGGGATAGGTCTGCTTTGTTGGGTGGTATTGTTGGGAGTGGAGTGCTGTAGACAGAGATGGCGTTCGCTGCGACGCGAGTGATGGAAGTGGTTATCAAAAGGTCCGGAGGATTGGTGTGGAAGAACTGGCCAATGAATCACACGCGGCGCGCCAATGCTAAGAAGCGGCACGTTCGTTTGCAACAGGTAGGTTACTTTTTCAATTCGTAATTTGTCATAAATATATATTGAAAAGAAATTAGAATCATTTTAATCTTGGATTTTGCAAGTCTGGATAATTCCATTTTCTTTTTCCGCATCCTTTTGTGTCGTTGTTCTGTTTTCTTTAACTACCTACGGAATTGCTTATTAATTTTAATAACGATTCAATGTCAAGCCCTACTCAGCATTGTAAACTGTGCAAGGTTCAAAAACTTGCATGGTATGTGTAATCCATTTCTGGATAGTTTACAATTTTATTCTCCATCTCATCGGACAGAATAGGCAGTTATATTATGTTACGAGTTGAGGATTTTCTACGGACACTATCGTGCTTCTGAATGTGTTTCGTAGACAGTCCCTCGTGACTTCGTAAATACGGGTATGCTGTCGCAAGTAATTTAGGAAGTTCTAGTAGCCAATCGAAAAGAGCCATTCGAACTTTAGGGGTCGGAACCAGTCATTTAATCAGGTCACCTTTTCTCACTTTCACAGTGAGAATTTTTGTTCTAGATAACAAGACCTCTTTTGTTAACACCGCAGGTCGAGGCAGTTTTGAAAGCTTGTGCTGCTCCTCCACCCTCTTCTGCTGCCCAAAGTGGCACTAAAGGAATAGTTCAAGGTACACAAGCCTCGAAATAAACCTGGTTTTATAGCCTGCAGACAACCGCCAGACGAGTTACCACCTGGTTGTTCATCCTCTGTGCAAGAATAAGTAAAGGGACTTTTTTCTTCCAGACGGGAAGACGAGGACCAATATTTCCTGCAATGGTAGAGCCTTATGTTAGGTACTTAAATTTTCCTCATGCGACTTAAACTGAGGAACAGCCTTCGTTTTGTTTTAACCGGAAACGCATTACATCCCAATTTGTGAATTATCTCCTACAGTGTGATGAACCTTGTGATATAAATAGCTGAGAATTTTTCATATCAAATCTGAATTAGTATTTGTTTGCAAATCACGAGTTACCAGTTCATTTTGGTCAATCTCAATCTGTCTAGGTGCTGGATTGAGCGTATGCCAGTACTGTAATATTCATAATATTGCGATTCTAGCAGTCCTTGATATTTTCAGGGACAGTCATTGTTTGGTCAAATTTCGTCATGTATATTAACATGCATAGATTTTACATGCTAAACATGAAACAGAAAACTAGGTAGAATGTGAACGTGCATGAGTCCTGAATCTGCATTCGTAAATTACATGTATTATGTTTGCTTGTAGAACATGTGATTTTGGTTTAATGCAAGTTCTGTGTTCTAATGTTTATGGTAGCACATGGGTCATTTATGGGAATGAAATGATAGGTTGACGTATAGTTTTAGGATTGAGCACTTTTCAATACAATCAAACCTCCATTAAGGTTATGCTTCAGGAGTACTATTTTCATGCTTAATAGAGATGTTTAAATATTAAAGAGGTTTAAATATTAAAGAGGTTATGGTTATATGCACGTAACTTATTAAAAAGGAACTATTATCCAACAAATCAATTTAAAATACAATTATTACAAATTTATTGAGGTATAAAACAGCAAAAAAAATATCATTTATTCAAAGTAACAATTTATAAATATATCATTAATTTATTAATAAATCATTTATTAAAAGTAATAAAAATTACCATTTATTAAAAATAAGTATAAACTAATGTGTTCCATGTTGGACATACAAGCTTGAAATTTCTTTTTCTAAGTTGAGCAATTTTTTTAACAAACGACTAGTATCATAAATATGTTGTTTCAAATTCAAACAAATCTTTGCAATACTTGATGCCACATTTGAATATAGAATAGATGGTTTTTCAACTTCCAATGTAAACTTATCATCTTCTACATAACTAATTAAATCAAAATTTGGTTCACAATTTCTTTTTTTATGTCATCATTAGGACTTGCACTCAAATCAAATTTTGCCTCAACTTGAATATACTCCACAACATCCATAGTAGGTTGGTTTTCACTGCCAAGTGATAAGTTTTAAAGTTGTTTAAGTAGATCATCAATCTTTCTAATAAAAATAAGTAGTGAAGTCCAAGAATCATCATTTAAATAAGTTATACAATATAAACTAATGTGTCTCCAACAATGGTGTATAGTATTAGCTAAGATATTAGTATGCCATGTTTTTACTATTATAGTACATGCATCCTACACAACAATTTTAGGCTTTATTTTTGACATCTAAACATCAATTGATCTAAGAATAAAATCCTTTCAATATTAAACTTTGAATGATGCTATAGTACCAACATCTATTCGTTGACAATGACTTGTAGTATTTATGGCAAAAACTCTAATCTTATAATATTGATTTTTGCTCCAATATTCACAATTTTGTGGCTTGAAAAATTATCAAGTAATAGTAATACTTTCTCCTTTTGTGTAAGTTGCATCCTTCATTTAAAGTCCAAAAGAAATTCTTTGAATATTGATGTTGTCATCCATACTTAAGAATTTGCCTTCCGTAAAATTCCAATTTTTTTAAGCCTTGTAACATTCATCATACTAAAAGCTTTTAGACACAAACTCTTATTAATGACAAAAGAAAGCAATTTAAAACTACCATCTATATTGCTTGTTAAAGCAATAGTAAGTTGTTCTTTATGTTGTTTTTTTATGGCTCAATTAATGAATTATGAAAGATTGATTTATCTCTAAACTATAGAACAATCCAATATCATCTATATTATAAACATCAACAGAATCATATTCTTATATTAAATCCTTAATCTTAGCCATTTGTAATTGAGTATGTTCTAATATATCTACAAAGAGATCTTCACCATATCTTGTGTAGGATTTAATGTCATAAAAATTCTTAAAATTCTCTAACCATCCTTCAAAAAAAAGAAGTTTTCTATTTCTTTCTCTCTTCTCAATTCTAGCATAAAATCTCTTAGTTATTGCAATAACTACGTCTCCCATCAACATGGTATTTCTCTCTAACATCACTTGAATCCACTAGTAAATAGCCTCTTTAACTAGTAGACACTCAAGCTTTCTCATCCCTTTTACTTTTATTATTAAAAGATTTTGACATTGAAGATATATATATATATATATATATTTTTTTTTGAGAAGTCTAAACATAACTATTTTTCCAATTAAAAATCTCATCTTAGAAGATGCCCATGTTGCCAATGCACAATTAGTCATAGGTTTTGCACCATTTCTTTTTCTCTCATAATGATTTACAATCAATTATTTCTACTCAAAAGTCAATTTCTAACACTTCATTCTATTATTAGGCATAAGTAGCCTTATTGCTAATGTTAAAAATATCTTAAATCATCTTGTCCAAACTATAATTATGAATACATAATACCTATATAATCATGAATATAAATTTGAGTTAGAACTAAGTGATATTAGAAGTTAATAGAAATATAAATTGTAATATTATACAATAGTTTTATAAGACAGTTTTAGTTTAAATTCTAACTTAACACCATCAATCATATACCAATTCAATACATTGTTTCATTGATATACTTTATACAACATCCTATTAAAGTAATTATACTCGTATGAACTCAAATCTTTAAGCAAAACAAGCATACAATAAGCACTGCAATAATAATGGATAGAAAACAAATTTGTTGAAAAAAACAAAACAAAATAAAATAAAATAAAATAAAATTGACTTCAACTTAGTACATGCTAGACTAATGGACCATTTTGAGTCCAAATTTTCAAAAAAAAATCTCAAAAAAAAAATCGCAAAATTTGCAAAAACAAAAACAAAACAAATAGGAGTTGTATTTTGGTAGATATGGACTTTGAAAAAATATAAATCAACATTGTTTTGAATTTTTCAGAGCCCATATTTGCTGAAACACAACTCTAATTGGCAATTATTTTACAAAATTAGGATTTCAATGGTCCAATTATTCTAGATAATATATATCCTTAAGAGAATTTAGAAAAAAAAAAAAAAAAAAAAAAAAAAAAACTTAAACACTAAACCATATAGATAGAGATGCATAATTTTTAATATTGACTCTTAAGAAATAAGATCAATGTACTTTGTTAAGTTTATTCTTATACATAATCAATCAAATGCAAGGATTTCCATAGTATTAAATTCATTAGATCATAGTATTGAGATTTCAAGTCCTTTGTTCAATTTATATGTTTATTTCTATTATGATTTTTGGATACAAGTTTTTCATTGTGTACAAAAGTGCATTGTAATTCTACTTGCAATGACTTGAAGGCCTCCATATCTCTAGTTGTTGCAAGTTGGTGAAAAGGCTCCCACCATCTCTACTCATAATAAACAAAAGGTTTCTACTTGCAACGATTAGAAAGCCCTCTTATATTATCTGTTCATTTGAACAAAATTGAATGTATTTGACTAGTAAATATGGAATCTAACTATTATCAAGTTACATTTAACACTATATATAAAAAGTATAAAAAGCCAACTATTAACAATGTAACTATTAGTCTTGTAATTTTTTAGGGAGTTCAAAAATGTTAACTTACAGAATGAAATAACTTGTATCAAAGAAATAACTCATATCAAGATAATTTTTTATTTCAATATCAAGATTTGACTACACTTGTATCAAAACACACCTTTGTCATGTTGTGTACCTGGGCATGCAAACATGAAGATTCAGAGCACCATATTATGCCTCACTTGCCAGTGTTGTAGCTGGCCTTTCCATTTTCAAAGGTCACGTCTAAAACTAAATGTGCTTATTCTCTGAATTCCTCATGTTGAAACTTTGAAACAAAAAGTGTACAATTATGTGTTCACTTTTTTCTACACATGAATGTGAACCATGAACTCATAATTATTGTGTGGAGTATTGTGGAGATGAGGAAGCCATTTACATGTCACCATGGATGATGGTTTTGACTGCAGCAGTCCTTGAAAAGGATTTCACCTGTTGATGTATCAAGTTGCATGTCACTCTCTGCCCCATCAGTATCTTGTCTGCGCTCAACACCATAAGAAATCATTTTGAAATAGCCCACCTCTCAGACTCACATCACAATTGATTTTTTTGTTTTATTATTTACTTGAAAAGAAAAATGTAATTTTGTTGCATTACTTAAGAATGTTGACAATACAGTAGCAGCTTGAGTCTCAATACCCTATGTGTATGATAGACAAAGGATCTAATTAGTTTTTATATTCATTTTTGGTAAGGTTTAATATAATTAAGGTAGGTTATAATATGCTGATTCTATGTCATAGAATTCAAATATTTTATCTCATTGTGTTGTTTTCTTTACAACCTAAAATCATGTTTGCCATCTCTAATTTGTTTCAATTTTTAAAAATAGTGGTAAGGTGTGGTTGCTTTAAAAAAAGTTTTGGATTATTATTATTATTATTTTTTTTAATGTTTGTTTCTACAAGGCTTATTCATATTAGTTTAGTAATCTCAATGTCATTTCTTATTTAGTCATCAAATTGGACCAATCAAAGTGGTTTTCTCAAATTGAAATGTTGCATCATTTAATTATTATTAATTTTTTTATTTAGCTCTAAGAATTTGTTTTTCTTACTAATTTTGCAGTATACGAAAATTCATTTTGCTTCTAATCGCTATTTTTTTAGTGCAACCATTTTTTTTTAATTTGGTCTGTTTAGATGTTTAGTAAGTTTAAATCAAACATACACTAAAAATGTAATTCTTTGATCAAGCCATTAAACAAGTTTAGAGTTTTAGAATTCTCATGTATTCTTTTAATCAACATCTTTTAATATTTTAATATTTTTTGGGTAAAATCTGCAAATTTACAAACAATAGAGTTTAATATGATTTTAATTTCAGTTTTAAATATTAAAATTCTTTCTTAGTTGAATAATTTACTTTAGTTGCAAGTATAGAATAATTTACTTTAGTTTGAATAAATCTATTTTAAAATAAAATTTTATTCTATATTTTTAATTAAGTTTACATTCATATTTACATTTTTAATGTGGTAAGGTTAAAAAGCATGTGTAGAGGTTAGCTATCAGTTTGTTTGTTTGTTTTCTTCTTCTTTTTTTTTTGTTTTTTTTTTGTTTTTTTTGTTTTTTTTTTTTGTTTTTATCCATTTGGCTAAGAAGACATTTTTAATTTAAAATTAGAAATGTCTAAATATTTTTTCTTTCTAATATTACAAAACAAGTGCCATGTTGTTTTAGATTGTGTTTTATTTTAATATTTTTCTACAAAAATATTTCTTAATAAGAATCTGGTTTTTTTAAAATATTGAAAATTTAGCCAAATAATAAAAAATAATTGTGTGTGTAAATACATATATATATATATATATATATATATATATATTATTCATAATAGTAACTCCTCTTATATCATGTGATTTAGTTGAATACAAATAGTCTAATTTATATTGAATTCCTTAAATAAAAAAATTACCCATATCTATAGTTTCTAATATTAGACTAAAAGATTTGTTTAGAATTTTTTTTAAAGCACGTAAAGCATTGTAAATAAGATTTTCCATGTCCATTTGTATTTTCATTTGTTTATAATTTATTCACGTCAAATATATTACCAAGTATTTTCGAATATTATTTTAAAGAATAATTATTTTTTATATTTTTTTAGTTGTAAAATTGAATTTATGTATATTTCTATAAAGAAATGATTACATGATGCAACGTATATATAATTGATGAACTTATATATATATATATATATATATATATATATATTGCTCATATATCCAATATAGAAGTAGGAAGAATACTAAAAGTCAAGACTATATTCTCAAAGATTGATTCTATGCTTAATGATCCAAATATTTGTACATGAAATTAAATATATATATATATATATATATATATATATAATATTAAGATACTAAATAATTATTAAATAATATTTAAATTAAAATAAGTATTATTTATTTTTTGGTCTAAATATGATATACAAATGTTCTAAGTTCATCAATTATATACTAAAACAAAACACAAGATTCACACCAAATCTTATAATCTACAATAGCTTTATATATATTGGAAGTAGTCTTAAGGTATATTAGGAATTTAAATAGGACAAAAGCAAGGATAGTGAGTCTAGTTGTTTTATTATTTATTAAATTTTTAGTCTTTAAAGTATACTTGCTATGAAGAAGTATATTTTTTTAAATCATTGTACAAAGCAATTTTAAAGTAAATTCAGAAATTTCAACAATATATATTTTTAATTCTTTGACAAGAAGAGAATTTACTCATATAAATTATAAAAAAACTTACTAAATTTATTTTTTAAAATTTTAGAAGAAAATTAGAATATCAGTATATGTAATATTAACAAATATATTTATATGGAATCAACACAATTAAGAAATATTAAATTTGATGGATTTTAAAGTTTGATTAACTTAAAATAGATAACTATTCTACTAGAAATGGCCTAAGTCTTATTTACAAAAATAATTCATAATATGTAACATAATTTTAATGTATTTTTTAATAAAATTCATATTAACAATTTTTTCATCTTAAGCAAAAATGTTGGTGCAAATATACTTAGAAATATAATTGATGAACTTAGAACATTTGTATATCATATTTAGACCAAAAAATAAATAATACTTATTTTAATTTAAATATTATTTAATAATTATTTAGTATCTTAATATTATATATATGTATATATATATATATTTAATTTCATGTACAAATATTTGGATCATTAAGCATAGAATCAATCTTTGAGAATATAGTCTTGACTTTTAGTATTCTTCCTACTTCTATATTGGATATATGAGCAATGTATATATATATATATATATGCATTTCTAAATTCTATTTTTAAATAATAATTATAACATGTAACCGAAATATAATTATAAACATTAATGGTCAAATCTATAGATTTTTGCAATAGAAATCTTGATGCTTTGGCTTAAGTTCCAAGTTACAATATGTACAAGTTTTATTTTAATTAAAAATATCATTTATAATGTTTTTATTCGAAATTTTCATTTTTATTTTATTTTATATTCTTATTTTATTTTATGTAATAATATTCATTGATCGGAATATCTTAATTAAAATCTTTCTCCTACAAAACAAACAATAATAATATACTTGGCTAAAAACTTTCTTTCAACGTTAATTACGTCTTTGACTAAATAAATTATCTTTACGTAAGTCAGGGTTAGATACATAACATAGTCCTAAGCATAAGCTAATTTGTTGCTCTTTTAAAAGAATTATTTCAATTAAATGTTTATAATCTATTATTTTCTAAAAGAAAAAAAGAAAAAGAAAAAAAAAGAAAAAGAAGATTTTATTTTATTTTATTTTATTTTTTTCTTTGTTTCTTGACAAAAAAAACAACAATAAACATCATGAGACAAAAAAAATTCTTGGCTCCATTTGTAAATTTTATTCTATTGAATAATTTCGAAATGCTACAAATTTCTTAATTAATTGTAAAATATTACAAAAGATTAAAAAATTCTAAATGAAGAGGATAATTTGAAAATATTGTTTAAGAGATATTTATAGTTAATAGAAGGAATAAATGTAAAAGATATGAAAAATAAAACTTAGTCTAAAATAAAAACTTTGATTTAAAAAAATGTATATAAATAATAAGTGTTAAAATCAAAATTTGAACTATAAATTCTTTACACTCAGTTTTTAGCAGCACTAAAAATGGATATATATATATATATATATATATATATAATTAGGTAAGAAAAAACTTTAAAAAATGTTTATAGATTGTTTTTTTGAATGTATTTAGTTTTATTATTTTTATTTTCATAATACACTAGGCAATGTATTAGACATTGATAAATAATTTAAAATTTGAATTCCTAAACCTACAAATTTATAAATTACATCTACTTTTTTTTAAAAAATAATTACCAATGTATGTTACCAAAACTAGCAATGAAAATTTGCTGATAGGATTAAAAAATAGATTGAAGTAATTTGGAAGAAAAAACTTAGATTAGAAATGAAGTAATACAAAAGATCAACAAGTTTGATTACTAAACTTAAGCGTAAAGCAAATTGTTTATAACTCAATGTAAGATTATAATCATGGGTTGGACTGGTTGCAAAAAACATCACAGTAGTTAAACATCATTGCTAAACAGGTCAAAATATAGAGCATGTGGGTTACCAATTTATATTGCATATCTTTTTGAAGAAGTAAGTTTTAAAGAAAGCACATAATTATTATTAGTATTCTCACAAAAAGGAATAAAGTAAGAGAGAAAAGTTTATAAAAAAGTGTATTCTTATTCCAATTTGATGATGAAGTGATTTATTCGAAAGCAGAAGAGAATAGTAGTAAAAAAAAATAAAGGGAAAAAATAAGGATAGTTTAAAATACATATTAATGGGATATTTTAAAATTATTGAATTCAAGACTATATATATGCTTTTTCTTTTTTTTTTAAACCTTACAACAATGTTGACCAATGGTATGAAGTAGAAATTTGTAATCACAAAAAACTTGTTGGTATAACTCTATCGAACAATAAACACTACTTCGTGTTTAACTTCCTGAATTTAAAAATCTATGCTATGTTTTGCTATAAAATAACATTAAAAACACAAAAAACTCGCAACCACCCAATCCACTGCTCTTACTTTTTGAACTACACAAGTGACTTCATTCTCAGGACTCCCTTGTTTGGAAAAATCGGAAATAATCAAAGCAACAAACAAACACACAAGATGTAGAATCCAGTGATACCAAGACAACGTTGCTATATAGGATTACAGACAAAAAATAAAATTGTAAGTTGAAGTGCCCAGAGTGAGGCAGTCATGAAACTTGAACTCACATAAATCACGCTGTACAAGCGCTAATTTATTTGCAATATGCGCAGGAGCTAGCGTCCTAAAACCAGTAAAGCTGGCTCCTTCTAAAGAATCAGTTACCTCCCAACATGTGTTTATCTGGGGCATATCACTCTGAATGCTATGCCCTTGGAACTAACGTTGCGCTTCTTCTGACCCCCTTAGCAAAGGGGATGTGTAGCTGTGTTACGCCCTGGGATTGATGATGTTACAGAGTGTTTCAATATCCTATAGTTTCCTGCAAGAAATATGAACATCTGGTTGCCTTACTGCAAGCCCCTGTCACTCTCGCATAGCCCATGGGTACCAACCACGGCACCCATCATCAGCTCACTGCAGATTCGGTTGCAAGTTTCCTCAGCTGATCAGTTTTTAGGAATGAAGACCATCGCCGCATGTGGATTCCCTTCCTGTGAAGGGGTTTGTGTTGCGCGAGTTACACAACCAGCCCATTGCGTCAAATCCATGGCCACTGCAAAAAGCAGCACAATGAGAGACCTTCTGCTGTCGAGCTGCGACGACTAATTGCGAGAATGAGGTGGTTGATGCCAATCCTTGGCGGTTTGTGCACCCATTAATGAAGGAGTGATGTGACAAGTGGAGAGATTGCTCTGATTTTTGGATCATGTCACCGGGTGAGCCTCGCTGGGGTAGAGAGCAAGGTGGAAAGCTGTTGGGATGCAGGAGGGCCAACTAGATGCAGCATATTGGCCCAGTAATCCTTGCTTTCAATCAGCCCCTGTTGCGATGTCCATCCTGGAGTACCTGCCGTAGTTGTAGGGACAGTCGCCACGATGAGATCTGGCACAGCAGGTTCGGCGTGGAGCTCCATTAGCAGCTCAGGAATTTCGGATGGAAGCTGAAGATCACCCGCTCCCATTGTGGTTGGTGCCGACAGGGATGTCCAGAATGTTGGGCTGGGGAGTTGAAGAGGGGGAGAAGTCGAGAAAGCAATCTCGCAATTGGAGCTTGGAGGTGGAACCATGAAGTCGCTGGGTGAGGTGCCGAAGGGACTGGAAAGAGTCGACGTCGGCGAGAAGTGTTCTGGGATCATCGAGGGAAGAGAATTTGGTTTAGGAAGGTCAGGGAAGAGCTTTGTGCCGGAAGAAGTGAATGAGTCGGAGATTTGAGAAGTTTGTGGCAGTGGGGATGGCGATGGCGAAGTTTGGTGAAAGCTGGGGAAAGTCTCGAAGCGGGCCGCCAAATCAGTCACTGTCGTGCCTGAACAATTGTCGTTTCTGGGAGTTTGTGAGTAACCGCTATGGCTACCAGAATGCGTCTTGGCGCGCATTTGGGAATCGTACAAACCTGGCTCCATAGGTTGGCAATGGAGTGAATCTTCCCAGTCTTGTAGAACAGTTTGCAAATCCATGCTGCAAGGAGGGAGCTTCTCAAGCACGCCGAAGTCACGCCGTAGAAGCGACTCCGATACTTGTGTCTTCCAGGAGCGCATTGAACAGTCGCTAGGTGCCTTGATAAAACTGGCTGATGTGCCAGATGCTTCGAATATAGCTGCACCATGTGCTGATGATTTGGCAAAATAATCACTTGAGAGACGAGCTTCCATCTCCATCCGCACTCTGTCCCATTGTGACATGTGACTCAAAGTGGAAGACACCATAGGCTTCAGATCCAAGTTCTCGATCAGCAGGTTGGATCTCACTTTGTGCGTCACGGGGTCTATGCCCATCTGCAAGAGACGCTTCCTCAAGTGCGTGTTCCAATAATTTTTAATCTCGTTGTCTGTGCGTCCTGGGAGATGCGCTGCAATGGCCGACCATCTGCGGACAGAGAAAGGTTATTATCTCTCTCTATGTGGGGGTGCAGTCTGAACGTGCAGGCTTCCATGGAATTGCAGAAAACCAGAATCAAAACCAAGTTAATCCGTTAGCGGAAACAATTGTTACCTGTTCCCGAGGATGCCATGAAGATGAATAATGACTTGCTCCTCTTCGAAGGAAAATCTGCCGCGCTTGATGTCAGGCCTAAGATAATTCGTCCACCGTAACCTACAGCTCTTGCCACACCTCAAAAGTCCTGCACAATCATAGGTGCACGAACACGACATTTTAGCTTTTTGCAACAATTTTCTAGCTGCCAAACTTCTTCAAAGATTCTAAAATTACGCAGCGACTAGTTGCGTATCCATGTTGGGTGAGACACTAGGTCGAAAAACTACCAGCGTGTTTAGGAAGGGCGCGCCAACTGCCATGTCCGTTGCGCTGAATGTATGTTACGAGCTTCTGGTCTTCATCAGGTGTCCAGGGTCCCTTCTTCAGCCCCATTTTGTCACAACAAGGAGTTCTCCCCATGCTCTGAGGTCGACGTTGAGAATCTCGAAAAGGCCGAGTTGATCTCAGTTTTTGGTCACTCGTAACGTACCGTAAATGCAGACTCTAGTTCTTCTACTATTGTGTGATTGAAACGAGGTTCACAATTTCAGACACTAAAAACGAGATAATGCGGCCTCAATCTCCGAAATGGTCATGGAGTAGAACAGAAGCTGCAACCTATCAACTACCCCCAAAACACATCCACCCTTTGTCTGGGAAATTCAACTATCTCAAGAACCAGTTGTAAATTGATCCAATACGTATCCGCTCAATCTAAAAGGTGGGATAAAAAACCAAGATCCCCGATGCCGATTGAATCTTCACGGTAAGGCTCGTTGCATCACACCATTTATGGACCTTCTACACATGCATCTCCTCACTACTCCTTCAGTCGTCAGTAGCAACGCAGAAACCAAAAAACTAAAAACTAAAACTAAAAAAACATCAACAGCCACACAGAGCTCAGCAAGCGTCACACAAAAACGCTCAGACACACTGCTCACCCTTCCGAGACCTGCCTTCTAAATTACCCGGCTATTTTAACAATCCGGAGTGGCAACGAAGCACTGACACTCTCAACATGCAAAATTCCGCCCCCCTCATCAATGTCCAAGCACCGGGATCTTCAACTGCAGGTAGCACTGAAAACAACTCTCTCACCCCACAAGCCTCGAGAATCCCCTGGTGCAGGATCACTAGCCGTCTCTTGTATCAAACCAGTAGGTAGGTAGGAGAGCCGTAAATGCCATGACCCACCCGTGCCCAACAGTCAACTCTAGCTGAACGATCACCGCAACTATTCGGTCTCCACGGCAACGATCGATACCACTATGATTCTGCCACCTGTGAAGATACAGCCATGGTCGCTGGCATCACCCTTTTAGGCTTTCCCACGGCACTTTTCGGTGGCTTTCGTCAGTTTCTCACAGAGCAGACCCACAAACCAAAGATGATGAGTTTTAGATACACGTCCAGGTTTTCGGGGTCCAAATGACGGTCGTTATTCCTTTCAACGTGCATGCATGGGCTCAAGTATCGGCGGATGACCCGTTTCTAGTCTTCACCGACTTGGCTGCTTTTGTTTGCTTCCTTCGGCGTTCGGACTTCGGGAAGCTGGTAGAGTTGGAATATTCCACGGACTCAGGCTCACTCGTTTCTGCAGTAATGCTTCCTGCTTTGATTTTCTCCTCGCTTGCTTGCTTCAAACCTTGTTTTGGAAGGAATTACTTTACCCTCTTGTGTTTGTTTCTTTGTTTGTTTTTTCAAGGACGATGACTAAATTTTCAACTGTGGGTTTCTTCTCTAGGATCGACCAATGGTCAGAGTAGGTCTACCGAATGATTGGCTTGAAGGTTTTCTTTCAAGGACTAGAAGCACGACTTCTCACATTCGGTGAGCTCTGCGTGACCATCGAGAACACACTCTCGTCAACACAACGTCCTTTCTTCCTCGGATTCAAGCAACATGTGCGTGTGATGTGGTTTTAGCAACACAAATGAGCCTGTTCAGTTTCGGGTCGGTGGAACGTAGATTGGATTTACGACTCAGGTAAGTTTCAAAACAGAAAACACAAAGACGGCTGGAAACTTATCGAATACATTATGTGTCATTAAGCAAGGCTTTGCCTACCTGGCATGGGGTCAAAAGAAACCTGCACTGTGCAGTGCATTGTATGTGAAGCATGTGACATTGTAGCAAGCCTCCAGGAGAGTCAAAATAAGGGAGAAGCTTTTTGGGACCAAGACGAAAGTGGATTGTCATGCACTTCAATTTGATTATGACCTTTTGATCCACAACTTTTATCTCAGTCAAAATGCTGTGCAAGTTAAAACAACGAGCCTTAGACACACACAAAACAAAACAAAAAAAAAAAAAAAAAAAAAAAATCAATGTAAATCATGAGAGTGAGTACAAATTTTCATATTGGAGCTGTTGTTAAGCAAGTAAAAACAAACTGAGTGAACACAAGTTTCACAAAGGCATTGGTGTGTACACACATATGTAAAATATTTTCATGTCTTGGTTCTTCTTTAATGGCTTTGTGGAAGGCTTCTTAAATAATCCCAAGGCATGGTGACAATTAGCAACTTTTTACAAGAAATATCCAAACCACTTCCATCCACTACATCCAGGCATTCACCATTTAAACCAAAGTCCAATTCATGTGGACTTCTCTAACACATATTCTTGGTCCTCTGATGGGAAGTGCAGCAGGACCCCTTTTTGGGCTTTGATGCAGAACTTGCTTGTGAAACAAAACCTGTTTCTGAAGCCACTCTTGTAGAGATGCTCCCAAAATCTCCTTAAAGGAACCCACTTGCCACAATTTTCATTTAGCATCAACTTGTTTTCCACAGCACTCATTTTTAATTTTTTCAATTTTACAAAAATTAATATTCTTCTCTCATTTCTTTCAGTTGTAAAAACAATGTTAAGATTTGAAGGTGTGATTTAACAATATCAAGAATTCAACATTTTGCTCATATGTCATTTCCAATTTCGAGTGAGGGACAAAGTTAATTTGCATTATCAATTTGAGGCATTATAGACTCTTTTTTTTCATTTCATCTCCAAAACAAAGTAGCCAGAACAATTCATTAGAACCTAAATGTGGCAAGTTTAAACTTTATTCACATGAACATTAAGAGACATTTCACATATTGTTTATCATACAAATACAAAGATAACTACATATTCCCGAAATAGATCTCCAATATTCATGATAATAAACTTATAAAATAGAGCAACTTTTTCTAATAACTTTACATCTTATAATAATGATAACTATGATTACAATAGTTAAGATTGTTGTTTGTTAATTGGGTCACTCTTTGTAGAAGGCTTCTTAAATAACCCACTTGCATTACTTAGTATTGAGGCTACATAAGAGTTGGAAGAGAGTGGTGTGGGTTGCAAGGTAATCTTCTCCACAGGCCTTGCTATTGACTTCCATGGCCTCCTCCACACTTACAGACAGCGTCCCCACAACCATTTCAAGGATTGACATATCCTTGGAGCTGGACAATATTTTCAACAAAGTTGGTGTGTACAAGTTAAAAGCTAAAACATTCTTTCACACTGTTTATTTCTTGCCTACCATTGATGGTAATGATAGCTTGAAATAGAATCTTGATGGATATAGGTAGGACACTTTTAGAAGAAAAAGAATACCCCAATGTGAGAGATTTTTGAAATTAACATTATTTTTTTAATTTTTTAATTTTTTTAATTTTTAGGCTCAGTCCATTTAAAGAGTTTCCATGAAACAACGCCAATCTATTGGTAATGGAAGAGCTCTGCACTTGGAAGAACTCAAATAATGAAAAAAATAAAAATGAAAACAAAATATAACTAAGAGGCTTAATACTGTAGCTCTTTCTCCTGGCAAATGTTCTATAATTTATTTATTTATTTATTTATTTATTTATTTCTACAATAGGAAAACACATCCTCTGCTTCAAGCCATCAAAAAGAGCAGCACCCATGTTGTTACTATTCTTGTTCATTTTCCCTATATTTTTCAGACAGCATAGATAAATATAGAAATGTGATGCTGCAAATCAAACTGGTAAGAATGTTTGGAGAATGAAACAAAAGGCATAACTCTTTTAACCTTCCTGTTGACACAGTAAGTTCAGGAGGATTCCTAGTGGACTTAAGACAACCTTTAAACATAAAAGTGATTGTATGTTTAATAGATAATGCTTGGCTAATATTTTAAGTCAAGCAGTAAACCAAAATTTTGAAAAAAAAGTAATAATAATAATAATAATAATAATAAACAGGAAACAGCTACCACATTGCACAACTTTTACTTTGGATAGATTGATTGGACCCTCTGACTGTCTTGATGGTCAAGCCTAATAGTTGTGGAAAGGCATTTTGATTTTGGTTTTTAAACACAGACCCTATCATGTTTCACTTTATGCAGTACACCTTGCACACACCAAAATTTTCATAATATATTATATTTATAACTATTCATTTATTCATGTTTGGGTGCCTGGCATTTGGCTGGCATGTGGAGAAATGAAACATTGGGCCAGGGGTTGCAGTCACTCCAACTCATGCACACAAGCTCCATTATATGACATGGCTGTCTCAAGCCCAAAGATTACACCATGACCAACTCCAACATCCATATTTGACATGTGGAGTTTCACACTAGAGGAATGAGATACAACATCCCTCCTAAATCAAAGGAAAAAACAAACAAACAAACATACATACAAACAAACAAAAAACAATGAGAGAAAGGGAATTGTGGCTGCTTTGCTCAGCTTGAAAGCTGGGTGTGGTCCATTGTAGTCACAAGATCAACACCACATATCAATAAACAGAAGGCTGGAGGAGCAGATTGTTCTACTCTTGAAGTAGAAGTAGAAGAAGAAGATGAAGAAGCCATAGATGTTAAGGTACTCACCTAGAAAGCCATTCATGCATTTGAGGTGCAGTAACACTGCATTGTTTCATGCTTGACTTCTTTTTGTCTTCTAAATGCTTTATTTTGCAACATCAACAACACAAGTTTTGTCAGCGGAAGTACCCTGTGTTGACTTTTGAAACAAGTGTGAATTTGAAAACATGATTTGTTTTCTTATTCAACTATTATCATGGTTGTTTTTCTTTGTTTTGTGTATGGATCAATATAGATTAGTTGATGTAACTCAATCGTTGTTTACAACATTTTTATTTCAAAAAGTAAAAAAAACACAATAGCTGTCCTATGTGAATTTTTGGTATCAACATATACATGAAATCAGTATTCGTTTTTTTTTCATTCTTAAAAATACAGCAATAGCAAATAAAAATTAAATAACATGATCAAGGAATGATAAACAATCATATGAGGTTGGTTGATTGACTCATATTATTCATCCATGTTCATCCAACATTATCACCACACAAAATATAGAACACCTCTCAACACATATAAATACACAAATAAAGACACATAAATAACAAGAAAAAAAAGGTTGGATTGCCAACCAAGAGACAAACCATTGAAAGGAAACTCAGTAAAACTCATAGAAACCCCCTAATTTTTTACTATATTATACAGTGAACATGGAGAATGCTCAACACACATTTGATCAAACTCCCCATTCTTAATTCCAAAATTGCACAAAATCATCACATGCATATCACAAGCATGAGAAAGTTGCAAGAGAGCTGCAGTGTGGAGGATTGTCACTCATGACCCACCATATAAATTTGCATGTGATTGTAGGCCATTTTTTTATGTTTTTAAAAATATTATAATGCCCCTCCAACCGTAAAAGCTCAGATTGCATTACTCGCTGATTTCGACGAGAGGGGCACACGGCAAAGTTCCAAAACTGGCCCTTTTCCCCTTGGAGTGGTCCTATATATTCATCTATCCAAACAGTGTTTTTCATTCATACGTGCGGGGGATCCTGTGGTCGCCGCCTCTTTTCTCTGCTTGCTTGCTGTTGCCCAGTTATTTATTGCCTTTGTCCCCACGAGGAGATGTTAGGGCTGCGGATTTGATTCGGCGATGCGAATGGTTTCTACTTTAGGTTGGGGGGTGGGGGGGTGCTGGCGTGGAATAGAGAGAGTTGCGTCCCGGTTGCAACAACCAACCACCATGGGATGGCTTTGTTGTTGATGTTGCCTCCTTCGCCTGGTGCTGCTCAAAGAGGGGAAAGGATGCGCATGAACCGGCGCGTTGTAATAAATGGAGGAGTGTGACTGTCTTTCCACATGGCTCGGCGAAAGATAGTGCGAGCCTACACTCAAGCGGGGGGGTTGGCTCAAAGGTGATTTCGACCCCTAAAAGCCCCGTTCTGGCACTCCGTGGTTATCCCACCAGATATGCTTCCAAGATCCCGGATTACTCATGACTTGGTGCGTAAGTGTTTGTGTGTGTGTGTGTGTAAACCATGACCTGATTCCCTTTCTCATGTAATGTACCCGATCGGATTAGGTGCAAAAATTGAGGTGACAGCAAAAGAAACAACAACGTGGGCAGGGGCGTGGCTTCAACACGAACTCCCCCTCTCGCGCGCGCGCCTCCTATCCGTAACGAAGCCACGCGGGGGTTCCTTTTTCGCATATGGGTAC